CTGTATTATAGACATACAAGATAAACAAGTGTGTATACACTCATGGACAAAACTTAAGGAAGTTGTACCTTTTAGCATGTATATCGGGATTCAGACAATAATTCTGAAAGATACACTCATGGAGAAACTTAAGGAAGTTGTACCTTTTAGCATATATATCGGGATTCAGACAATAATTCTGAAAGATACACTCATGGAAAAACTTAAGGAAGTTGTACCTTTTAGCATGTATATTGGGATTGAGACAATAATTCTGAAAATGAAATTCTTTATTGAAGACACATGAGATAACCAAGTGTGAACAAAATTGCCTCTGTATTTGTAAAAAAGACGAACGGCGACATCAATGACTTTCCACTAGTTAAGTATTGTCTATGGGTGTATAGTAGGAATCCTAGTTAAAAATTAGGAACTACTGCCATATAGGTTTGATTTTATTTTGAAACAAGTCAAAGCAGGTTTAGTTTCAAACTGACATTTTAAATTTGTGGCTATCGGAGTTTCTTTGAATGTTCAATTTAACGGCATGATGTCAGTTGATTTCTTAGCTTATGTTTTATCAGTACTTATCAGAATCTTACATTAAGTATTTGTTATAAAGACAAGAATTTATTTGGCTAAATGACGCCCTTACGTTACAGAATATTTGGTACAGAACACAAAAGTTACTTTGCTAATTCTCACAGTTAATATACATAACTTATATACATAAACTTATATACATAACTAATGATTTGTTTTGCATTATAAAAAATGCGCCCGTATTCAACTTCTTTTAAAATATCACGTATCCTAATTTTATTTCTTTATTGCACACTCTACAATTTGAACCAAATTCCCATGAAAACACCTATGAGTGAATCACTCTCTATTGTCATAGTGTATGTTAATAGGATGGCTATGCAACAATGGATATCATGGCGTTACTTGGCAACATTTAGATACGATAAATTAAGCTTAAAATTATCGCGCGGTCTTAATTGTTTTATTACATTTGTTTTAAAGGAGAGAGGTTACTTATTTGCATATAAATTTAATCTTTAGAGATGGAATTTTTGCAAAGATACTGATATATAAAACAACACTTAAAGTTTCACCGCATAAGTTTCTTTTCTGTGAAAAATCAATATTTATTTCAAAGAGAAATATCTACTATTTCTAACTTTATTAGATGACTCTTCATATTTTCATCCTTTCATACGTCATCCAATTATATATAGACCATCACTCTTCATATTTTCACCCTTTCATACGTCATCTAAAAAAAGTTAGAAATAGTAGATATTTCTCTTTGAAATAAATATTGATTTTTCACAGAAAAGAAACTTATGCGGTGAAACTTTAAGTGTTGTTTTATAATCATACGCCGCAGTCCTTTATAATACTGATATATAAAAAGAAAGATCGCATGCCTCCCGTCAAAAAAAAAAAAAACCACTGAAACTAGGTGCCATCTATTGACCGTCTTTGCAATATTGCAGACTCGGGTCGGTGCCACAACATCAGTTTTGGAAAATCCAGAACGTCCGTCTGGAGACATGGTTTCGGGCTATTGGTTAGTCCAGCGTGCGCTTTGATTTCCTGAGATGTGTTCGCTCTCTTCTTCTTCTTACAAAAGACGACCGGCGACTTCAAAGAATTCCCACTTCCTTGTTTTTTGTCTATGAGTATACGTTTTTTTGTAGAAATAATTACAGATGAAGAAGAGAGAGAAAGAGAGGAGGCTCATCAACCACCTTCAAACATTTATTGTAATCGGTGTTTCGGCGACCTATTTTCGCCCTTTTCAAAGTACAAACTTAAAGTGTCTGTAGAAATTGTTTTTCAATTCTATAAAAAGAGCGTTGTAAAATTTGTCAGAATTTTCCACGATAGAGGGAGAAAGCCAAGATGATAATGATGGTATTTCAATTTGAATCTACAAGAATTTTATTAAGTTGCACACACATTCTGCTTTAGTTAAACAATTCTGAGAGGATTTAAAAAAATAAATTAGAACTTTTTTTTATGGATACTGATGAAGGCTACAATGTGGAATGACACATACTGCGTTCCGTGTTTACCCGGAATTGGTGTTGTGACATATTTATGTGATATATACCGTCATAACTACAGTTAATATTAATGCTAATTAGCTTTTTTTTGTCTCTTGGCGGCATTTCTACAACTTTCTCTGATGCTATCCGATGAGTCAGGGCTGACGTGGCTTGTTATGGAATGATCCATCAATGCGCATTTGTATCATTTGTACTACCTCCCTGGAGATTTATTTGCATAACTAACATCTTATTTTCGTATTTGGCGACTTATTTGCATAACTAACATCTTATTTTTTTATTTTGCGATTTATTTGCATAACCAACATCTTATTTTCGTATTTGGCTACTTATTTGCATAATTAACGTCGTTTTTTCATATCTGGGGGCTTATTTGCATATATAACGACTTATTTACATATCTTAAAAGATATATTTACATACTTGGCTACTTATTTACATACGTGGTGCCTTGAATTATTTGTATGCCTGAATACATCTTCATAACTTGACTACTTGACCAAACCGCAGAGAGGGTTCAAGTCTAAGCCTATAGATCCATAGCCCATTTATTAATTTTGAATAATTGCAGTAAGGCTTATTGAAGACGTTTTTGATGATATTTTTTATGAAAAGAAACATAAGTGACAAAAATGTACATATGAAATGTAGTCGATATAATGGCACCTCAATATTTTGTTTGTTGCTTGAAAACTTATTTGCATAATTGGCGATATATTTACATGCTTCCTGGAATGATACACTCACTCTATATTTGTTTCATTTAAGTTACACGTGGCAAGACTCAACATAAATCCAAATAAATATTCAATACTAGCGGATGTGCCCGGGTTTTACCCGAATAAAGGTTTGTCTAGCGAACATTTGTTAAAACAATTCTCTATAAACTTATATAAAAAAATACATATATTTTGATAATTTGAAACTCGTAAATTTGAATCTCTAGATAAAGTGATCATTTTATCCCTGTCTCTGTGAGCCGTGTCATTCTGATTTTGGCTTTCGTAATTTTCTACATTACAAAATCATCGTTTTATCTAGTGAACATTTTTTCCCGGTCCCTTGAAAAATACTCGATAAGTTGAATAAAATCATGGTCTTTTATGGAAGATGGACGAAGTTCCCGGAGGTCACCCGCGAGGCTTTTTTCTTGTCTACTTGGCACAGCTGTGTTACCAACTCTGCCCCCGCGCGCCAGGACCTCTTGATCCATCTGATTGGTCGGTGGGAACTTGGACTGTCCATCCGGCCCGCGGCCGGACGATTACATTCTCTCGACGGGGTGGGGCAGACCTAAGCCTATCTCCGTCGCAAGGCGGCGCTGCTTGCGAGTTAAAGCTACAAATCTGCAAATAACTCTAAGGATATTAAAGATATTCAAGAAATTATTTTTCAGAAACCTTCCCAGTACTATACTAAATAATTTCCCAAAGTTTCATGGCGTTCCAATGAGTGGTTTGGTCAGGCATAAAGGACAGACAGACAGACACACCCACACACACACACATTCATTTATTTATATATATATATATATAGATTATACGTAACGCTTCAGTCTTAGCATTGCTATACCATCATCAGAAACGAGTGGTCCATTAAACTGGCGAAACCGCCAGTTTAAAATTTTCGCGAAATTTTTATGCGAATAAATACAGACACAGTGTGCGTGTGCAGCAAGTCAGCACATAAGTTTTTCTAACTATTATATGAAGAGATACCAGTAAAAAGAATTTAAAATTATTTAATTCTAATCGGGAATATGGAAATATATAAACGATAATATGAATTAAAAAAATTATCCAAGGAAATATTTGTATTGGAAATTTATGGCGCAAAATAAAAATGTTTTGGGACTATAAATCAACTGTTATATAGTCACGGTAGAGAAGACCAAAAGCTTAATTAAAAATAATTAATTAATTAATTAAACTTATATATTGCAAAATGTGTCAAAGGATTTTTCAAGTGGTAATTTACAAGCATGGTAAGGGGTGATGACTAGGCAAATATTTATGATGATAAACAACAGAATATTTAAAATAAATATTCAGTGACAATATATTACAGTCACATATAATATAAGTGGAGAAATATATATACATATAAGAAATATATATACATATAATATAAGTGGAGAAATATATATACATATAAGAAATATATATACATATAATATAAGTGGAGAAATAGGTAAAAACTTATGTGTGATTAATAACTTGGTTGTCAGTTTTTTGCGCATTTATTTATGTTAGTAGATTTCAAAATCATAAAAGATATGGATTCTGCCAACAACAAAAATAATCAAAGTCCTCAAAAAAATTCTCACAGGAAAACCAGATCACGTTCCAATGGATCTCACGTTAACAAAGACGGCAAGGAGATGGCTGACCAGTTGGCTAAAGAAGGCTGTAAGGGCCAGCCTGAAAACTCCCAACTCACCTATTCTGAAATTTCTTCCATCCACAAACAAACCTCTCTCTGGAAATCCACCCTAAACCACCTCTGGTACACCCCCATTCTTAACGAATCTTCTTTCCACACCCTTACTAGGGAAGAACAAGCGGTGATTTCAAGATTATGAACAGGACATCTTAGAATGCTCAAATTTAATGGAAAAATCAAAACATTCCCGAAATGCCCCAAATGCTATTCCCAATCAGCCAGTCCTGAACATCTATTGAATTGTATCAAATCTTCCAAAAAAGACCTCTGGGAAAACCCCAGGACTATAATAGAAAAACTGAGACAATGGAACCTAATGGAGATCGTTTAAACGACTTAAGGAATGAGCAACAACAACAACAGATTTCAAAATATGAGCGAGCCATTGTTTTCACATCTATTTTATCATATAGCTTCAAATATAGGACTTCAATATATGCCGCAGTCCTTTATAATGTATTATAAGTTACTTTAAGTATTAGTTACGAACGGAGAAATACGTCCAGGGTAGCCTAGTGGACATGGCATCTGCCCGGTAAGCGGAAGATTGTGGGTTCGATTCCCGCCCCTGGACACTTTTATTTTTCCGTTCGCCATCACTCTTCATATTTTCACCCTTTCATACGTCATCCAATTATATATAGACCATTACTCTTCATATTTTCACCCTTTCATACGTCATCCAAAAAAGTTAGAAATAGTAGATATTTCTCTTTGAAATAAATATTGATTTTTCACAGAAAAGAAACTTATGCAGTGAAACTTTAAGTGTTGTTTTATAATCATACGCCGCAGTCCTTTATAATGTATTATAAGTTACTTTAAGGATTAGTTACGAACGGAGAAATACGTCCAGGGTAGCCTAGTGGACATGGCATCTGCCCGGTAAGCGGAAGGTTGTGGGTTCGATTCCCGCCCCTGGACACTTATTTTTCCGTTCGCCATCACTCTTCATATTTTCACCCTTTCATACGTCATCCAATTATATATAGACATTACTCTTCATATTTTCACCCTTTCATACGTCACCCAAAAAAGTTAGAAATAGTAGATATTTCTCTTTGAAATAAATATTGATTTTTCACAGAAAAGAAACTTATGCGGTGAAACTTTAAGTGTTGTTTTATAATCATACGCCGCAGTCCTTTATAATGAATTATAGATCTGTTCATTAATTATATGCATAGAATATTATCCTTTTAATCACTTTTACCCAAAATTGCATTTTTTGGGGTTGTTACTTTTTGGATTATTCAAAGGTAATTTGAGTTGTGAATAGTAAAAAAAAAGTCTTTAAATTTTTCGATAAAAAGAGATATAAAAAGTTTAAATTAATAAATTCTATAGAAGGAGTTACTATTTGCTCTAAATTTATATATATGATTTGGTTTATTTAATTAAATAGCACATGTTTGTCTGTTGGTGATACACGTTTTATCTTGAATCCAATCAGGACCTAATAATTGAAAAGAAATTGGAAGGATTATTGTTTAGGACTTCAAAGAAGGAACAAATGATAAATCCAAAGTTTCTATCTTCAATCCCCCTTGAGGATTTCTACAAAAAAAAATCATAACTGAACTAAAATGTTTCAAATATCATCATATCTATATTTTCTTATATCTTTTACAAGTCTACGAAAATTCATGTTTTATTGTATTGTTTTAAAATAAACTTTCTGAACCGCATATATTCAAGGTATTATGCACATATGTACATATGAGTTTGTGTATACAAAAATGTAATGCCTCGATAAAGGTTGGCGTTCAGCCAGCCGAAATATTGGCAAATAAATATTTTATTCAATCCAATATGTCTTTTTACCATCTATATGTAAATATGTAACTCAAATAGTTCTTAGTTTCTTATTTAAAACAAGAACATTAGCTCGTAGCTCGAACGGGTCTAGTATGGAAGCCAGTTCTAAGTTTCATAATAACAAACTAAGTTAGTATGAGATTATGTAATACAATATAATGCGGCTTATGATTGTAAAACGACATTTGAAAATTATCCCGCATGTGTTTCTTTTAAACGAAAAATAGAAATTTATTTTAAAGAGAAATAATCGTTATTTCTCCTTAAAATAAATTTTGATTATTCGTTTAAAAGAAACACATGCGGGATAATTTTCAAATGCCATGAGACTATATGTTTCACTAATAGATGTTTAACTCTATCTATGCAAATAAATGGGGGGTAAAACTGATTACACTGGTCAACAAGATTTTTGCACAAGAGAACCTGATTATGTTTCTAGTGTAACTTTTCATGCTGAACTCAAATATCTAATCAGAAATTTCCCATCACCTATGGTTTTTGCGTGACGGTCTTTTTTTAGTATTGGGATAAAAACACTAAAAATTGCAAACAATGTCACGTAACTGGTTTATCAAAAAATATTTTTCTTTGTCCACAAAGAAATAGCATCTTATCTACATGTCCTGAATCCAAATATACCATTAGTTTTTTTCTATTACACAATATTTCTGAGATACACCTACTTGAATTTGGAAATATTGTTAATATATAGGCATATATGAACGAAACATATTTATTATTGAAAAGCAGTGACAGTGGATTTTCTTCTATACTTTGCTTGTGGTAGATCCCTCTTGAGTGCCCAGCAGTCGTCGGCAAGCATAGCGGGACTCCATTTACCTTGGTACCGCTTCTCCATGCTTGATATAGCTTGATGAAACCTCTCACCATGCTCATGGCTAACTGCGCCAAGATTGTCTGGAAAGAAATCTAGATGTGAATGCAGGAAATGGATCTCGAGGGACATGTTACATCCCAGTGCCTTGTAGGAAAGCAACAGATCATTAACTATGTCTCGGTAATTTTCAACCTTGACACTTCCTAAGAAGTTTTTGCAAACGTTTCTAAAGGAATTCCATGCTGCTGCTTCAACTTCATTCAAACTATTTTGAAAATTTCCATCCTGCTGCAATTCTCGAATCTGAGGTCCAACGAAAATGCCTTCTTTAATCTTCGCTTCACTTATACTAGAAAATTTTTGTTTTAGGTAGGCAAATTCACTGGCATTTCGATCCATTGCCTTGACAAAGTTCTTCATTAATCCCAGTTTAATATGTAATGGTGGTAAGTAAATATTTTCTGAATCGATCAGGGGTAGATTTGCAATATTTTTATATCCTGGAGTAAAGATTTTACGGTTTGGCCAGATTTTTTAATGTAATGCCTTTCCCTATCTCTGCTATCCCACTCACACAGAAAACAACAAAATTTTGTATATCCAATCTGTAATACACGCAAGAGAGCAACGACTTTCAAATCTCTGCATATTTTCCAACCGTATCTTTCATGTTCTATCTTTTTCAAAAGCAGGTTCATGTTTTCGTAAGTCTCTTTCATGTTGAATGCATGTATTTATCCCAATACTAAAAAAAGATCGTCAGGCAAAAACCATGGGTGATGGGAAATTTCTGATCAGATTTTTGAGTTCAGCATGAAAAGTTACACTAGAAACACCATCAGGTTCTCTTGTGCAAAAAAAAAGTTTTTTTTTGTAGACCTGTGTTATCAAGATATAGTGTTGCATAGAGTTCTCTCCCTCTCTTTTATATTTTCTATCAATATATATGATGACATCCTCCATCCTCACTTTAAGCCATATAATTTTATATGTAAATTTTACTATTGCAGCATTTTCAACTTGCTTACTCACGATGATAATTCATTTATTTGAAAAATTGGATCATATTTTGAATAATAGAACCCATTTAAAATATGTATATTTACTTAATGTGGATTAAAGCCTATTTAAAAAATAATTATAACCAGAAATTTTGAATAAAGATTTGTAAATATTTATTATGATTTTTTTTTATAGATGATAGAATGTATATACATTATATTGGAGGTCAGATTACTTAATTATAACAGATTAATATAAGAAAATAAGACCTAATCCAAATAATTTATTAGTGTGTGATGTTTCGGTAACAACATTGTCACCATCATCAGACAAAAGAATAAATGAGAAAAAATATTACAGCAAGTTCTTAAATAGTACTGTTATCAAGTTTTCTACTGTTATAATCTATAATCCAAATTGTGCTTTATAATTATAACAGATTAATTAATTTTTATCAAGATTTTGCCAGTTTTTGCATGTAATTCCTAGGAGGTTTGAGATATAAATCTTTTTGAAATGTTGGATTCTCTACTTCTTTTAGGCAATGAATAATCGCTGTAAAAAACAAGACTTAACTTACGGCAGTTTCCAAGTTGAAATCACAGATAGACATCGTATTTATGACGATAATATATGACCCAATTAAATTTTGATTTTAAAACTTATGTAAATTAGAAACTATTTTAAAGTGGCGAAACCTCTGGGAGGGTTCACCACTGATGAGCCAGGCCCTTCCATTAATTTTTCCCATTGCAGTAAGGGCAGTAGAAATTGTTTAATTTCAAAAAGAATCTTACGCGTTTAAAATAGTTTCCAATTTTCATAACAGATGGCGCGCTAGTGCATCGTAATGTAAAACTTATGTATAGCGTAGAAATACAACAAACAACAAAAGGCATTTATTAGGGCCCATTGCCCTGTATGGATTCGCCATACAACAACAAAACAATACCGCAATTCCTCCTTCCTTTCCCTATGTTAGAAAAGTAGTAATAAGAACAAATATATTTAGTAAATACCAGAGGAATTTTATTTAAGTCTCACTGTTTATATATATATATATATACATATATACAAACGTCTTCTTCTTCTTCTTTCTTATCTCCACTCAATCATATTAGGGTATCAAGTTGTGACCCTTGATGGTGTCTGTTTGACAACCACCATGACTGGGTGAAGTAGAATGCGTCTGCCTTTGTCATTAAGACTGGGAGCACTACTCAGTGGCAGGCCGACTTAGCTCCAAAAAAAATGGCCGCCTCTGACATGAGGAACAGACGCCATGTGCAGCCACTCCTAACATGGAGTACAAACGCTGCTTATCCTGTATCCCTGGATTAGGAACCCTTACAGGGTACTATCAGCTGGGCCAGCTGAACCCAAATTTTTTTTAGCGAGCTTGTTACTGCTCTCCTCCTCCTTTTTCATCCGGGCTTGGGACCGGCAAGTTTACAAACGTGAAGTAACAAATGCTAAATAGTCAAAAATAAAATCGTTCAATTCGGAAAGTACACCTATCCCCCGATTTACACGGTACTTGTTTTACACGTTTTCGTATTTACACGGTTTTCCAAATAAGTTTTTTTTATCGCACTATACTAAATGCTACTGTTATTGAACACATGCGCTGTGTACACATCTCACGAGGAATCCCAAGCTTATGTGCTGACTTGCTGCACACGCACACTGTGTCTGTATTTATTCGCATAAAAATTTCGCGAAAATTTTTAATTTTCGATTTGCACGTTTTTCTCAGGAACGTATCTACCGTGTAAATCGGGGGATAGGTGTATAATCTTTTGTAAAATATGGCCAATTGGAAATAAGATTGATCCAGGGACATTCGGAATATAGTTTTTAGTATTTCTACCATATCTCATGATACATTAGCGCGCCATCTGTTATGAAAATTC